AAAAAAAAAAAAAAAAAAAAAAATTCAATAATTTATTTTGTAAATGATTTCAAACTTATCAAAAACTTATAAATTCCTGTCGCCCATTCCCCCAGCTTCCTCATTGGTAACATTTTACTCCATTTGTTCTAGCACCTTCCCTCTCTCCTTTGCTCTTTTTCCTCCTGAACCATTTTAGAGCAAGCTGTGGGTACAATGCCCCATCACTCCTAAACACTGCAGTGTGTGCTTTCCAGAAGCAAGGACACACTCACACACAACAGATTAGGAAATCAACATTGATGCATTACTGTTCAGTTCTCAGACTCTGTTCATTTTCTTAACAATCTCCTTTTCTGGCCCAGGATCGCATTCAGAAAATGTCTTGCATGTAGCTGACAACTCCTGCTCTTCTCCAATCTGTAATGGCTCCCCAGTATGTCTTTCTCTTCCATACATCCTGGACAGTGATGCACTCAGTAGTGTGACCCTCGCTCTGAATTTGTCTCATGTTTCATGACCAGACTCAGCCCTGGCTTGTCCAGTAGGACTGCTCCTACCCAGCTGTCCTTGGGCCCAGTGTCCAGTAGCCACAGCACTGGGGATGCTCACTTTGCTTCCCTGGTCACATTGGTGTGTGCCAGCCCTGTCCACCATAAAATAGCCTTTATCCCTTTGTAAATGATTACATTTTATAGAGAAATATTCCAAGATAATGTCAATAAGGTGGTACTTGTTATTAGACCCCCATCCATCAACTTTAGCCTCAGTAACCTTCCCTTCTAAAGCAGCTGTCGCTCTGACAGCTGCAGAGGGTGTGTTTCGGAGGCCATCATTCCACATTTTTATTAGTTGGCATTCTGCTATATGGAAGAACTTTACCTTTGTTCCCTATGCATTTTCCTACCAACATGGACTCAGTTCTGTTTAACTCGATGGATTGTATTGCTACCATTACTTGTTTTGTTATTTCAGTTGTCCCAGATTTGACCAGGAGCTCCTTCAGGTTGGCTTTTGTGTTTTCACTTGTCTCCCCCATTCCCTTTTTAAAAACACTTTCTTGCTTTCTGGTACAAGTAGATGTTCCAAGCTTTTCTTACACTTTTTTTCTGATTCACCCCTGGAATCAGCCAGGAATCAGCTCCAAAGAACTTGGTTCTTTTCAGAGGAAATGGCATTTTTAAAACCAAGGTAATTGGGACTAGAGGCATAGCTCAAGTGGTAGAACACTTGCCTAACCAGTGCACAGCCCTGAGTTCAAAAAAGTCTTGGGGGACGTAGCTCAGTGGTAGAGTGCCAGCCTAGCAAATGCAAGTCCTGAGCCTGATTTAGCATGGAAATAATCGTCATCTGGGGGGGTGTGAAACACACACACACGCACAAACACCTAATGTGCCAGTGCCCAGGCACATGTCCATTCAGTGCATGCGTTCATCCTTGTGCCTCTAACTCTACTCCTTCCTGCCCCTTTCTGTGTGGTGAGTACTTCCTCAGCAGTGAGAAACCGGCTGTCAGTTTCCAAGGCTCTTTACTTATTTGTTCATATAACTGACCTCCCAACTGTGTGCTATGTCCTCTGCCTCTGCAAGACCTCCCCACCCCCAGGGAGCCCCCACACTCTCACTGCCTCGTCACTGTGAAGAGGCTTGGGACACAGCCTAGAACTTTTAGGGGTGGCCTTCTGTGGCAGTTGTTTAGGTCCAGCAGCTGACAGATCGAAACAAGCTCCCAGAGCCCTCCTTCCCTGTCTGAGTGGAGCAGAAAGGATCCGTGCATGGGCAGTGTAAGCTCTCTCACTGCCTTTGTGCCCTTGGTCTGCAGCCCTTCATGTATGGGGACTACATTGCTTATGACTGCTGGCTGGGGAAGGTCTACGACTTGAAGAACCAGATCGTCCTGAAGCTATCCAATGGTGCCAGGTAAGCTTCTTAACCACCAAGGAGCCATCAGCTCAGAAAGGGCAGCCTGGTGGGAGGCAGAGGCAGGCAGAGGGAGTTTTCTCACTAGGCCTGTGAGGACAGGTTTGATCCAGGGCAGTGACATGTTGTAGGCATTCAGGGCCTAACCCTGTGATACTGTCCCTGTGATACTGTCCTTATCTACTGTGACCTAGTTCTCCTGCTCAGTTTCTGGTCCGTCTTGGCTTGGTGAATGTTTTCATTTGGGTATCTATGAGGGGCTGGTACTCTACTCACATGCATAATGGTGCTGGGCACTCAAATGGGCTCAGTATCTCGTACCATCACAGAGTCTAAGCTGTTGATGCAGGTATGTACATATCTTGCTGCCTCTGATCACCATTGTTTGGTGCTCCTTGTGCCCCAGTGGAAACCAAGCCTCTGTTTACTATTTCAGGTGCTCCATGAACACAGAAGATGGTGCCAAGCTCTATGATGTCTGCCCACACGTCAGTGACTCGGTATGGATGCTCTGACAGAGAGGAGGTGCCCTTCCCTTATTCCTCAGCCCTCTGGCTGCAGAGGAAGGAGGACTTAGCAGAGCCAGCCCAGGCTGAGCAAAGTGGATTCCTAGGACAGGGGCGGGTGTGCACCAGTGCAGCTAGAGGTGTGGAAATGGCAGAAAGCATCAGAGTTTTTGTTGCATCTGTGCTAGTGTCTTCTTTCATCCTTCAGACATACCCAAGTGACTTAGTCCAGTAGGTCACACTGGTACAGTAGTAGGTGGACAGTTTGTACTGGGGGCTGTAATTGTGCAGGTTTGGGGACCACTTCTCTCTAGAGCAGTGTGTGATGCTGTATGCAAACTTGTTAAGAGTACAGATGGAGTCTGACCACATTGTAACAAGATTCTGGGGAAGTCAGTTTGCACCCAAGGTTCACCATGTGCTGCAGGAAGCCTGGAGGCCACTGGTTGTGGGCTTTTGCAGGCAGGGCTGGTGGGGCAGGCTCAAGGAGCACTGTCAGCCACAGAGGCCCACTTACAAGGACTTTCCTCTGGCCCTATGCCCCACAGGGTCTCTTCTTCGATGATTCCTATGGCTTCTACCCAGGCCAGGTGCTCATTGGCCCTGCCAAGATCTTCTCCAGCGTCCAGTGGCTATCAGGGGTCAAGCCGGTGCTCAGCACCAAGAGCAAGTTCCGAGTTGTGGTGGAAGAGGTATGCAGGTGGGGCAGGGGGAGAGATCTTGACTCCCAGAACCTGAAGCTGAGATTCTGCCCCCTTCAGCCTGCTCCTCAGTACCCCTGTTGATCTGAAAGGGCTTTGAGGATCAAGGGAAACCAGGCTCTGGTCATGGAGTGCCTAATAAGCAGGTGTCCTTCAGGTGCACTTGCCCTGCGTAGGCTGAGCAAGGGGAGGGTGGCATCTGACTTGGATGGGGTGCCACATTGTGTATGCACGTGGTGCTGCACTGTGAAGTTCCACTTCCAGCTCTAGAGGTTTGGACAGCTGGTTAAATAGAATACTGTTAGAACCTGCCCTGACTGCAGTCCCCTTCCATCTTTTGTCCCTAGGTACAAGTTGTGGAACTGAAAGTCACGTGGATTACCAAGAGTTTCTGTCCAGGGGGCACAGACAGCGTCAGTCCCCCACCCTCCATCATCACTCAGGAAAAACTAGGCAGGTGAGCGTGCTCCCATGCCCAGCAGGGGCACGTCCAGAATGAGTCTCTGGGCCCAGCTACAGATGAATTGAGGGGGCTGAAAACAACACTGGTCTCTCAGAAGTCCAGCCCAGCCCCTGCTTCTCCCACCAGGGTGAAGCGTCTTGGATGCTTTGACCATGCTCAGCGGCAGCTTGGGGAACGCTGTCTGTATGTCTTCCCAGCCAAGGTAGAGCCAGCCAAGATTGCCTGGGAATGTCCAGAAAAAAACTGCGCCCAGGGGGAGGGCTCTATGGCCAAGAAGGTATGTCCTTGGGGTTGGGAGTTGGTGGGCATTTGAGGAACTGGACTTGATCCATTTCCATGGCCAGGAAAGATGGTCTGTGCTCTAGGCCTGGGTGGGGGGAACAGCCCTGAGGACCCATCCTGGCCACTTAGGTGTGTACAGCTTTAATACCACAGGCTGAGATGCCTGGAGCCAGGCTGGCCCAAGGTGGGGCCTGGCCACCTGTTGTTCTCCACAGCCCCCTGTCCTTTTGCTCTGCTTTCGCAGGTGAAGCGCCTGTTGAAGAAACAGGTTGTGAGGATCATGTCTTGCTCCCCGGACACCCAGTGTTCCAGGGACCACGCCATGGAGAACCCAGACAAGAAAGGGGAAGCCAAAGCAACAAGTGAGACAGGGTCTGCTAGCCCTGAAGAGCCGCCCAATGGGTCAGCCAGCCCAGTGGACATGCAGGAAGAGGGCCCAGAGGAGCCCCATGAGGCAGGTGAGCCGCTGCCCCCCTTCCTGCTGAAGGAGGGTGGGGATGACAGGCTGCACTCAGCAGAGCAGGACGCAGATGATGAGGCTGCTGATGACACGGATGACACCAGCTCAGTGACCTCCTCTGCCAGCTCCACCACCTCCTCCCAGAGTGGCAGTGGCACAAGTCGCAAAAAGAGCATTCCCTTGTCCATCAAGAACCTAAAGCGAAAGCACAAGAGGAAGAAGAATAAAATCACTCGTGACTTCAAGCCAGGGGATAGGTAAGTCCTGAGCATGCTCTCCACAGGCCCCAGCGTCCAGCCTGAAGCCAGCAGAGAGCGCCTTCCCTCAGCTCATGCGTGTGCATCTGTGAACCTTGCAGGGTTCACACAGTGCGTGGTGCCCAGGGTAGGCCCCTGTGAACAGGAGAGGTCTAGGGGTAGGATGGGGGCTGTAGCCCTGAGCCTGACCTTCTGGGACCATATTTGCCTGAGTTCTCCTAAATGGGTCCTGTTCTTAGAGAGCAGGCAGCATTGGGGTTTGGTTGAGCTTTGTGTCACTCTCACCTTGACAATCTGGGACTCAGCTTCAACTTCGAGGCCCCATGGGGAGGAGAAAGGACAGAAAGGTCACCTACCCTTTCCCCAGAGAAGCATTTTTGCGTGACCTGGCTCACTGGCCTGAACCTGGCAGGGTGGCAGTGGAGGTGGTGACCACGATGACCTCAGCTGATGTGATGTGGCAGGATGGCTCTGTGGAGTGCAATATCCGCTCCAATGACCTCTTCCCCGTGCACCACCTGGACAACAACGAGTTCTGCCCCGGAGACTTTGTGGTGGACAAGCGAGGTAGTGCTGGCTCTGGGGGCAGCCAGCAGGACAGCTGTGAATGAGGCCTGGGGGTGGAGGGAATGCTAGGAAGAATGGGCAGGGGACTTCAGCATCATTAAGGGGGCCTGCATGGTTTGAGATGTGGTGACAAGAGGGCACCATCAGGGTTCCTGAGCTAGTCATGTCCTATTTGGTTCCCTAGTCCAGAGCTGCCCAGACCCTGCCGTGTACGGTGTGGTGCAGTCTGGGGACCACGTTGGCCGCACCTGCATGGTGAAGTGGTTCAAGTTGAGGCCAAGTGGGACGATGTAGAGGTGAGTGTGCCCATACTGCTTCCCTTAAGTGGGCTCTGGGGGAGGGTAAAGGGCCCCTGGCTCATGACACCCTATCCTGTGCCATAGCTCATTGGAGAAGAGGAAGATGTGAGCGTTTATGACATTGCTGACCACCCTGACTTTCGGTTCCGCACAACTGACATCGTTATTCGCATTGGCAACACTGAGGATGGAGCTCCGCACAAGGAGGATGAGGTATACCCCCAAATTCAAGTTCTGGGTTGCTGCTCTCCGACCTGCAGCAGCTGCAGTCCCTGGCTGTGCCACCAGGTGGCTCCAGGAGACAAGGCCTGAAAGTCCTCTGGACTGTCCCAGGAGAGCTGCAGCTCATCCTGACACCTGAAAAAGGATTCAGACTTCCTGAGCCCCTGCTGGTTACTTTTCCTAGAGGAGGTCACCTTTGTCACAGACCTGTGAGTGTGAGCACAATCACACCATGTTGAAGTCAAGTGCAGAGCCCAGGACAGGCTTGGGAAGTGGGGCTTGTGCTGGACCTTGAAGAAGAAGTGGAGATGTTAGGAAGGGTCAGGGCAGATTCCAGGCAGAAAAGTAGGAGCAAAAGTATGGAGCAGGCAGCCCCATTGACAGTAAACGCAGAAGGTATATGACAGGGTCCCACATCCCAGTAACTGGCAGGTGCTTATCTCCCTCACTCCTCACAGCCTCATCCTTTGCACCCATGGCTGGAGCGCCTTCAGAGGTGCTCTGGCCCTTGCCCTCTCCAGAGTGCTGCCCCTGACTGTGTCTCCTTTGCCTGACAGCCATCAGTGGGCCAAGTGGCCCGTGTGGACATCAGCAGCAAGGTGGAGGTGGTATGGGCTGACAACTCAAAGACCATCATTCTGCCCCAGGTGAGACTGGCCAGACCCTCACTATCCAGCTCACGGTGTGGCCACCTGGGCTAGGGGGATGTGGTCCACCTCTGTGCCTGAGAGCCCAAGGACAGCTGTCTAGTCCTTTCCCAGCAAGCCCAGAGTGACAAGACTAAGGCTTTCCAGATGCCCCGAACCTCCAGGCCTGTCCTGGATTCTCAAACTACTATGCTGAGAAAATGCAGGTTGTTTCCTACAAGTGTCCTACAGCGTTGCCTAGGAAAACTCATGGGCACAGAAGAGATAGAAGACCTGGCCCCAGTCCAGCCCCAGTTGATCCCCTACTCTTGCCCCTACTTGAGCTGACCACACCACCCAGCTCTCCTCCTGATGCCCATGCAGGGGTGGGTGGACTGGTGGGCAGAGAATGGTTTGCCCCTCATCTTGATAGCCATTCCAGGAAAGGGCAGGTCACAACATGGCCAGCTCTCTCTCATCTTGTGCTCCCCCACCCCCCGCTGTCCCCCCAATAGGGTCCCCAGCTTCTGATACAAGCCCACACCTGCAACTGTCCTGAGTCCTGGGGATGGGCTGTATTTCCTTAGGTTTCCCCTTGGGCCCCTCACCCACTGGGCAGAGATGCTGACCAAGTGCACAGAGGGGGAGAGGAGGCCAAACTGTTGGCTGGGTCTTGGATCTTACTGGGGGATGGTGGGCAAAGGGCCTCTTCCAGAGATCTGGAGACCCCCTGGCACAGATAAAGCTCAATATGCAAAGTCGGGAACAGAAAAGGGGGCATGTAGAACAGGGTCACCAAGGCCTCAGGGAGTCACCATCAGCTGGGAGGCTTCCTCCTCAGGAGTACTCCCTTCTGCCCCTAGCACTTGTACAACATCGAGTCCGAGATCGAGGAGTCAGACTACGATTCAGTAGAAGGCAGTACCAGTGGGGCATCCTCAGATGAGTGGGAGGATGACAGTGACAGCTGGGAGACCGACAATGGACTGTTGGAGGATGAGCACCCCAAGATAGAGGAGCCTCCCCTTCCGGTCACCGAGCAGCCAGCAGCACCCGAGGAGGACAAGGGGGTGGTAATTAGTGAAGAGGCTGCCACGGCTGCCATCCAGGGGGCTGTGGCCATGGCTGCCCCCATGGCAGGACTGATGGAGAAAGCTGGCAAGGACGGGCCTCCCAAGAGCTTCAGGGAGCTGAAAGAGGCCATCAAAATCCTGGAGAGCCTCAAGAACATGACTGTGGAGCAGCTTCTGACAGGCTCCCCTACTTCCCCCACTGTGGAGCCTGAGAAGCCAACCCGGGAGAAGAAGTTTCTGGATGACATCAAGAAGCTGCAAGAGAACCTCAAGAAGACTCTGGACAACGTGGCCATCGCCGAGGAGGAGAAAATGGAGGCAGTGCCCGATATGGAGCGCAAGGAGGATAAGCCTGAGGGGCAGTCGCCAGTGAAGGCCGAGTGGCCCAGTGAAACCCCTGTGCTCTGCCAGCAATGTGGTGGCAAGCCCGGTGTCACCTTCACCAGTGCCAAGGGCGAGGTCTTCTCAGTGCTGGAGTTTGCACCCTGTGAGTTAGTCCTCATCTGACCTTCACCTTCCCCCTCTTATCCCAGGGATCCTGTTTGTGGTAACACATCTGGAGGCTTTCTAGCCCCGGCTCCTGCCCTGGGTCATAGTCATTCCCCTAAGGTCACAGTCCTGATGCCAGGAGCAGTGGTTGGGAGGCACCTGAGTTTAGTCACCTGTCTGGAAGCACAGCAGGCAGCTGCTCCTTCCAGGCCACATTTCGCAGGACAGCAGCCATGTTCTCCCCACTAGAGACTGACTGTTCTCTTTTCCCTCCAGCAAATCACTCGTTCAAGAAAATAGAGTTCCAGCCTCCAGAAGCCAAGAAGTTCTTCAGCACTGTACGGAAGGAAATGGCACTGCTGGCCACCTCACTACCTGATGGCATCATGGTCAAAACTTTTGAGGACAGAATGGCAAGTGGGCAGGGGAAGGGCTTGGCATGGGGAGCTGCCTACGTGTACAGGGGTGACCGCTCAGTAATTGGAGGGCCAACACTCAGCCATATGTGTCTAGGCCTCTGAAAAATTAACTTTAAGAGTATCTTTTTTTTGGCAGTAGTGGAGATGGAACGCAGGGCCTCTTGTATACTAGGCAAGTGTTCAACCACTGAGCTGTATCCTGTTTAAATTTTATTTTATTATTTATGTATTTGTCTATTTATTTATTTTTGGCAGTTCTGGGGCTTGAACTCAGGGCCTACACCTCGAGCCACTCCATCAGCCCTTTTTTTGTGTGTGTAATGGGTGTTTTCAAGATAGGGTCTCACGGACTATTTGCCCAGGCTGGCTTCAAACTGAAATCCTCCTGATCTCTGCCTCCTGGTTAGCTAGGATTACAGGCTTTAAATTTTATTTTGAGAAAGGATTTCACTAAGTTGCCTAGGCTGGCTTTGAATTTGCTATATTGGCTGGGCTGGCCTTGAACTTGGGATCCTCCTGACAGCCTCTTGAGTAAGTGGGATTGGATTTGTGTACCACCACCCTCAGCAAGATTCTCCTCTTTTTTCTGAAAAATGAGAACCTTACAAATAGAGCTTGCCTTTGACCAACCCTCACCTCCTCTTTCTCCCAAATCCAAGGCCTTTTCTCATTCCCAGAGGTTGTGACTATTGGGACTTTGGTGGAGCTCCTTCCAGACAACCTTTTTAAAAATAGTTTTGCATTCTCATGTGTCACCGTAGCACATCATATTTCATACAGTTTATTTACATAAATAGCCCGTCATCGGACGTGTTTCGACAGTGCACCTTCTTCATTGAACACTGGCTCTTAAAACCTGCCCTTGTGGATGCATGTTGACGCAGTGTGTTCCATCTGTATCTACAGAATACCACATTTCATTTTCCCTGTCCTGGGGTTCTGAGTCGTCTTTACAGAAGGCAGTGTGAGGAATGAGGATGTGCACAGCTCGCTTTGCCAGCTTGCTTACTCAGCAGACCCTAATCGGGCCTATCATGGAAAGGAAGAGCCCGAGAATACAAAGGGCAGGGTCCCAATAGCAAGGGAGAGTGCAGTATTCAGATAAGCCCACGGCTGGCCAGGGACAACAGCAAGCTTGGTGCTGCTGAGGTTCTTAGTAACACTTTTGTTTCTCTTGGGCTTGGTAAAATACCTTTAGAAGATTCCAGCCTGTCACAGCTCTGCTGAGGGAAGAGAGGAACAGGGTTTTTCTTTTCTTACGCTTTTTTCCAAAGCTCAGAGGCTCGTGGCTTGGATCACAATATACATGAATGGCTCTGTTCTCCAGTTAGTACTTCAGCCTCTCCGTCTTCCCGACTCCTCACCCCTGACACTGTCCACCTGTCAGCAGGTGGACACACATGCATGTACACACAGATCCCTGATGTTGGGATTTGGCTCCCAGGACTTAACCTTAGTTTCTCTGGTGGTCTCTCAGCCTTCGTTCTAGAGCTCAGATCCTTAGTACCAACCTTCTGGTTCTGAAACCACCATGCTTCCACCCCCAAAAGCAAGTGCAGAGATCCTCATTTGTGGCGTCTCCATTGCTGGTGGCTTTGGTGCCAGGGTGCTGCTCCTTCCGTTCCCACCTGCACAGTGCCCTGCAGAAAAGCAAAGCCAGACCCCACATGCCAACCTCAGCCCTCCTTCCTTTCTAGGACCTTTTCTCAGCCCTAATCAAGGGACCCACTCGAACCCCCTATGAGGATGGCCTCTACCTGTTTGACATCCAGCTCCCCAACATCTATCCGGCTGTACCCCCCCACTTTTGCTACCTCTCCCAGTGCAGTGGCCGCCTGAACCCCAACCTATATGACAACGGGAAGGTGTGCGTCAGCCTCTTGGGCACCTGGATTGGAAAGGTGAGGACAGTACCAGCCCCCTGTTGGGATGTAGTGGCAGTAGGGGACAGATGTCTGTCTGAAACAGACCTGATGGTGCTGTGTGTGTTTCAGGGAACAGAGAGGTGGACGAGCAAATCCAGCCTTCTCCAGGTGCTCATCTCCATCCAAGGTACGTTGAGCTGGCAGCTGGCAATGGGGCCCCTTGGAGGGCATGCTGGCTGGCTGTCCCCTTGTGGGTGGAGGGCAGGCCTACTCTGCTGATCTTCCCATACCCACTAAGGGAGGACATCCCCCCTGTAGGTCTGATCCTGGTGAATGAACCGTACTACAACGAAGCCGGCTTTGACAGTGACCGGGGCCTGCAGGAGGGCTACGAGAACAGTCGCTGCTACAATGAGATGGCGCTGATCCGTGTGGTGCAGTCCATGACCCAGCTGGTACGGCGGCCCCCAGAGGTCTTTGAGCAGGAGATCCAGCAGCACTTTAGCACTGGCGGCTGGCGGCTGGTGAACCGCATAGAGTCCTGGCTGGAAACACACACCCTGCTGGAGAGGGCCCAGGCAATGCCAAATGGGGTCCCCAAGGATAGTAGCTCGCCAGAGCCACCTGCTGCAGCTGAGCTCTCAGACTCCGGCCGTGAAGAACCCGAGGATGGTGGGCTGGCCCCTGGAGAGGCCTCTCAGGGCTCAGACTCGGAGGGCGGTGCCCAGGGCCTGGCCTCAACTAGCAGAGACCACACAGACCAGACTTCAGAGACGGCGCCTGATGCATCAGTGCCACCCAGCGTCAAACCAAAGAAGCGGAGAAAGAGTTACCGGAGCTTCCTGCCTGAAAAGAGTGGCTACCCTGACATCGGCTTCCCCCTTTTTCCGCTCTCTAAGGGATTCATCAAGAGCATCCGGGGCGTCCTGACACAGTTCCGCGCCGCCCTGCTAGAGGCAGGCATGCCGGAGAGTACAGAGGACAAGTAGCCATCAGCCCCCACAGAAGGCACGTCATGGTGGGAGAGGCTAGCCGCTGCCTGCTCACTCCCTCCCTGGAATTGCCCCTCTTCCTGCCCCCTCTGTCCCCAGTGTGAGGCTCCGCTGTCCTCTTCTCCCCGAGGTCAAGGTGAGTTTGATGCTGAAGTGCAAGAAGTGTCCCAATATGCTGCGTTTCTATTCCGAAACAGTTCTTCAGCAGATCCCCTGTGGCAAAGAGAACCAGAGCCCTGCTGCAATTTCTACTTGCAGACCCAGGCAGAATGTCCCAGCACTTCCCCCTTGTCCCCTTCTCAGGTCAGAGGTGGCATGCTGTGCTGTCTGGGCCCAGGAGCCCTGCACATGGGCCGGGAGTGGGTGTGCCTTGCATGAGGTGTGGACTGCACCCGCGATGCCCCTGGGTCCTTTTCAGCCTCTTCAGTATGACTGAGCCCCCCACCTCCCCATGATCCCACACCCTCCTGCCGCCATCACCACTGGTCCCCTTAATCCCCCAGCGTCAATGCTACTCCATGGGAGCTGTAGCCACTGTCACTGACTTCTGGCTCTGGCCTGTTTGCCATGTTATAGCCCTTAGGTCTGTTGAACTTACTCTCTAAGAGAGGTTGGGAGCAGGCCAGATTCAAGGTGACACCTGGGAGAGGTGGCAGACCTCACACATCCACATGGAGTTGAGGACAGGGAGCTGCTGGGAAGAAATGGCTGTAGGTGCCTTTCTCTTCCAGTCCATAGGTGCCAGGGGCACAAGCAGTTCTGCCCAGGCCCTCCAGTGTGTACTGTGCCCACATCTGCTTCCCACAAGCTTCATCTCAACCCCCCACTGAGGCAGCAAAAGCAGCTGCAAGACCAAGCAAGCACCAGAGCCTGTCCCCATCCAGTGGCTCGGCCATCTCTGAGATGCTAAGCGAGGCCTCAGCAGCCCCTGGCTTCCAGATTCTGCCGGTGCAGTCCAGAGGGAGGAGGCAGCGGCAGCAGGAGCTCACCCCCTTCTCCCCACACCCCATCCTGCCCCACAGGCCCAGAGGTTTACAAGTTTTCTAAGCTTTTGATAATGTGAAGCTCCAGGTTAAGAGGACGCTGTTGAGCACATTGCAGCTATGTAATTTCTGGTGTACGTATGTAATATTTAAGGTTGGAAAAAATAAATCTCAAAAGCAATGATATTAATTCTTATTAGAAAAAAAGACAAAATTTTAAAAAAGCCAAAGCATGATGCGTCTTGTCAGCCTTAAGTGGGCTCCACACTTGTGCTGTGCCGGGACCACCCAGGCCGCTGAACCTTGGGAAGGACAGAGCCAGATCACCTGCCCTCCTGTAGCACTCACTCGGAGCCCATGATTGGTGTCTTGAGAACATCCCGAGTGCCTGGGGGCTGTGCGTCGTTCATGTGATGTGAATGCCTACTGCTTATAAGATCTGTATAAAGTGCTGTGATTAAACTTTTTTTTACTTGCATTTTTTTTTTGGTTGGCTTATTAACAAGACATGGTAACACCATTAAACCTGCCTCTGCCATTCATCCAGGCTCTGTTGCCTTTCTTCCTGATGTGCCAGTGTCCCCCCCACAGAGACCCAGACCTGTTGCCAGGGAAGGCTCATGGCAGGGGGTCCTGGTCCCCTTCTGCCTGAATGCCTTTTGTATTTCCAGTTGAAGGATTTACAGGGAGAAGAGGTGAGGATTCAGTGTTTAGTGGATGGGTCAGTCCTCTTGCCTTTGGGCTGGGTTCCATTCCTGGCTTGTGTGGCATTCCTCAGTAGCATTGTCTGCCCCCAGTGGCCTATGACTAACCCATTCAGCTCCTTCCAGATTCCAGGGGAGCTAATGTCACAGCACCTCTCAGTGGGCAGGTGTCCATCTTGGCTGTAAGTCAAAATGGCTGCGCAAGTTGGGAGATTGGCATCTGCCTCTCCCTGTTTCTACCAGCGCCTCTGCTGAAGACAAGTGGGGAAGGACCTCATGGGGTGCCAGACTCCTTTAAAAAAAAATAGAGTGAAAAGAAGTCATTTTTTTCTCTGAAATGTGTCTTGCTCCTTGGCAATTTCCCTAACACCTTTAACTCAAGACATTTTCCTCCTCAGTTCACATGGGGTCTAGCTGCATTCCCTGAGCATCTGGCTAATGACCCAAGGTAAGAGACAGGAGTGCAGAGCCTCTGTCTTCCATGTGTAGGCTTGGGCAGTCAGCCAACTCTCAGGCCTCTTTGGGCTGAAGATGGTCCATATCAGCATATAAGTAGGCACCCACCCTGCTGGGTGCCAGTGGCTCACACCTAGCTACTCAGGAAGCAGAGATCAGGAGGATTGAGGTTGGAAGCCAACCCCAGGCAAATAGATTGAAAAAACCCAATCACAGAAAAGGGCTGGCCGAGTGGCTTAAGCAGTAAGCGCCTGACTAGCAAATGTGAGGCCCTGAGTACAGATCCCAGTGTCGCCCCTCCCCACCCCCCAAAAAGTGCCTACCACCAAAATGGCTGTGCCATGCCTCATCCGATTCAAGGGTTACTTGGAGGCATTGGTGGTATAGTGGGAGGCATAGCTGCCTTCCAATTCAGGGGCCACCATTAGGCATTAACATAGCATTCCATAGCTCCAGCTACTGCAGGCCCCTGCTTCCTCCCCAGGACAGGACCAGCAGATTGGGAATGTCACTTTATTTGGATTCAACTGTCAGGGGAAACCTCCACGGGCAATTGGCCCAGCCAGCAGGGCTCTGCCCAGGGACTGGTGGACTGTGGTGGGCAGAGCCCACCCTACCAAAGCATAGCCTCCACCACCTTCCTGCCCTCTCCAGAGGTCCCCAGCACCCCCACACACATGAGCTGTGGACAGGCCCTTCTGTCCCAGGAAAGGAGGGAGGACCCCAGCCTCAGCCTGAATGGAGCAGACAAAGGCACCACAGGGCTCAGAGTTATAAAGGCCCTGGGGCTGGTTTCTGCTGGGGCTCATGGCTGGGCGGGGGCTCCCCACAGCCACTGACCATCCAGAAGTAGTCTGGGTGCACCTGGCCCTGCACAGCCTCGCTGATCATCAACTCCCCATCCACAGCAAATACACCCCTCCGATTCTTGGGCTCCAGGCGAAAGGCAACCACGGGCACATGCACCAAGTGGGGGCAGTCATACTCCATGTGCTTGCCCTTCTCCATGGCCAGGAAAAGGCGCAGCAGCATGGCCCGCGACACGCCTGCGCGCACATAAAACAGGTGCATAACGCCAGAGGCGCAGCGGCCCATGGGAGCCATGAACATCTCGCTACCCAGGTGGGTGTGCAGCAGTGCCAACACCAGCACAAAGTCCTGTTCGGGCACCACGGTCCAGTGGGAGGGCACTGGCTCCCCCAGGGGAACAAGGTGCGTGTCCATGGGGCCCTGATGCACCAGCGTGGAGGAGGCGGGTGGCTTAGAGACCACACTTCCTACTGGCAGATAGGCCAGTTGGCCCTGGTAGATGCGCAGGGCTGCCAGACGCAAGAAGGTGCCCACGGTGAAGCGCATCTCCCCTAGGCGCCTGTACTTCTCACTCTCCAGGTCCACGTCAGCAATGAAGCCCCAGGCCAGGCTGAGCACAGAGTAGAGACGCAGTCCTGAGGCTGTGTGCAGTGACAGCAGGTTCATGGGGGACAGGAACCGGCCACACAGCAGCTGCGCGCAGTTGGTCAGGAGATCTTCATTAGTCACTTGCTCATAGCTGCAGAGGAAAAGGACAGATGGACCAAGGCAGGGGCCACCAGAGCATCATCCCCTTCCCTCCTTTTGGGGGGTGGGATCAGGCAAAGCAACATGTGGTCCCTAGGGGTTGACAGGAACAGTGACAGAGTAGGTAGAGGCAGCCATCTGGGGCCACCGGGAGAGGGCCCCAGAGCTGAGGGTGAGGCGCTAGAGGAAGAAGAGGACTTTACCTAATAAGAGCTTAGAAAATCTGGCAGTAGGGAAGGGGAAGGAGAAAGAACACTGAGGCCCACTCTGGCCTTGGGCTCTCACCCAGCATAGTGGTTCAAGGAGGCTGCCAGAGCATTGCCAGAGCCTCCTGGGAGGCTACACAGGGGCTTCTGGATTGCTGTCTCCCAATCGGGCCGTTCCATGAGCCCATTCACCACCTGTTGGAGCAGGAGTGGCCTCAACCAGGGAAGCTCCATCCCCACCCCACCCGAGTCAACCTGTAACGCAGGTCTCACCTCGTGCATCAGCCCGTCCCCAGACATGACCACCAGCGCATCCCAGCGGCCCAGCTCCTCTGTACGCACCAGCTCCCGCGCATGGTTCTGCCGCTCTGTGGGGAGGCTCGGGATCCGGTTCCCTGCAGAGGCTGTGCCCTGCAGCACGGGGGCCCGGAGTACGTGTGGGGCGGGGGGAGGGGGAGCACACGGTACTCACCAGTAAGCATCAGCGTGAAGGAGACTTCGGCCTCGGCCAGCAGAGGTTGCACGCGGCTTTGGAAGAGCTGCAGGGCCTTGCCTTTGCCACCGCGAGGGTTCAGCAGCACCAGCACGCGGCAGGGCCGCGGGAGCAGAGGCCGGGAGCCGCCAGCTGCGAAAACAAACCGGGGAAGGCCGCGTCCGAAACCCGCCACTAGGGGGCGGAGGAGAGCAACACGGGCACTGGGGTGGAAACGCAGCGTCTGCATTACTCGGGTAACTGACCCAACAGAGCTCGGCCAGAGGAAGCGGCCTCCCGTGGGGAGGTCCGGGGTGGGATTGCGGCGACCCTGACACCTCTTTCCTCCGCTTAGGGCCAGCCAGCTTCTGGCCTCGTGAAAACAAAAGGTTTCTCACGGGCGTCCCCAGCCCCTCTCTTTCGGCGTTCCATCATTTCTGGCGAGTGGGAGGGGATCTCCTAACAGCCCTTCCCAGTCGGGCCCCCCCACAAACCTGCTTCCATAGCCTTGTCCTGCGGTTTCCGCTGCCAGGGGCCCCCCAACGCTGTCGGAGCGCTGTTGGCGGTGACCGCGGCTCCTGCCTTCAGCTCCTTATCGGTGCTGCCCAGGAGGGCGTCGCGGGACTGGCTGTGGGGCTCGCCCTCCCCGCCCGGAGCCGGGACTGTGGGGGCACCCGCGTCATTCTCTGCGGCGGCCAGATCTGAGGGACAGGAAGAGACAGCGCTGGCGGAGTTCGGGGTGCAGCCCCCTTGAAGTGGGAAGGGATGGCGCCCAGCCAGATCCTGGGACCTCGCGCGGGGAGTTGCGCGCTCCTGAATCGCCAGGAGCCCGTGGGTCGGAGACCTAGTTTTCTGGAAGATCCTTAGAGCCGAGTTCCGGTGCCACCAAGGGACTGAGCCCCCACCCCAGGAAGCGAACAGTCTCTTCCCGGGGGCTCTCCTCTCTGACGTTTCGGGTTCCGGCCCGACGGATGAGTCAGAGCTCTGTGACTCTCTCCATCGGACCAGCTCCTCACCCTGCGGGGTTGCCAGGGGAAGGACAGTCCAGTTGCGTAAAAATCCGAGAGCGGACATTGCGAGGAACCAGGTTTAGGGCTAGGATCTCCGCCTCAGCCAGTCAGGTCACCGCGTCCCCCACCCCGAACTCCGGGGCGGCTGGGGCCGCCGCCTGTGCCTCCGAGGCCGGGCTCCGTGGGGATGCGCCCCGCCGGTGGGAGCAGCTCCGGGGTTGCACAAGAGCCGAGACACAGCTGGGCCACAGCTGCCGCCTGTCCTGCCCGATCAGGAGTGGGTTCGAAAGGCAACACGCCGTGTGGCCCAGTTCCCGGGGCCTCACGAGGGCGGGTCGCTCAGAAGCCACCAAGCCACCGGAGGACAAGGCGGACGGCCCTACCCAGTGGGTCTGGTTTGCTGGGAGAGGCGCCAACGCCGTTCCCTATAGTGGCCTGGGATGCAACGCAGCTTGTCCTAGGCTCGGCTCCGCGATTAAGGGACAAGGGAAGCATCGGGCTGGTACAGGTTCCTGGGGCTTATTCCCTCCGGACTCAAACTTTTCGCTCAACTTCGCCGCTTGGCGCCGCTCGCCCTGCGTTCCCCGGGCTCACTGGGGTGGAACCCGTGCCTGGCGCGGCCCTGGCCCTCGCGGGTCAGCCAGCTCATCCCGAGCCTCACCGTACCGCCCCCACCCAGCACGGTCCGCGCCCACCGCTTGGCAGCGCCAGGGCTGCGCGCCCCCGCCGCTTGGGTCAGGCAGCGCCGCAGGCGCGCTGGAGGAGCAGCCCAGGCAGGCAGCGAGGCGCGCAGTCCCGGCCCCGGCCGCGAGCGGCGCGCCGCGGACGCAGCGTCCCGAGCGCGCGAGGCGGATCGCGCAGCACGAGCTGAGGCGCGGGGCCCACGCGAACCGGTCTCTGGCGTCCGGCGCGCGCGGTCCTGCGCTCCGGGAGGACCGTGGGTTGGACGCTGCCCGCAGTGGGTAATGCAGCGACCCCTTCGCACCGGCCCCCTCCCCAGCTCACCCGGAATTCGAAACCCCGACCTCGCTCGGCGCCCCTCCTCCGGGCCGGGATGTCTCACCCGTCAAGCTCGGGCTTCCTTTTTTCTTCCTGCCCTGATCTCCCGGGAAGGGTTATTTTTAGCTTCTGATGCGCCCGCGGGACCACCGAGCACAAGGCAGCCTGGCACGCCTTCCTGGACAGGGCTGGACTGGCCTGGGGGCTCCGAGCCGGTGTAAGCTGTCGCTGTCGGGAGAAAGGAGCCTTGTCAGCAACCTCAAAAGTTGGGTCCTTTCCCCTGGGGACACTATCGAGGCTTACCTGGGCCTGAGACGCTGCCCGCAGCGGGTGGTCCAGGTCCCGGATCCTCCTTGTCCGCTGGAGAGCAGCCTGGCAGTGTGGACAGGCCCAGGGGTCCGGTCGGGGCAAGAGAGGCAGGCATGGAGGGCGTGGCCCCGCCACCCCCGCCCCTCCCGCCGGCTCCGCGGGAAGATGCAAACGCGCCCAGGAGTTTTCGCTTCGGTGGTGGCAAACGCGAACGTGTGTATGTCAATGCATGTGTGTGATACATTTCACGGCAAGTAACCTGAACCTGACCGTGGCCATTTCGAGTTAAATTCTTGGAAGGTTATTTGAAGAGACTGGGAAGGAAGAAGCTGCCAAGACCGACTTGGTGACCTGACCAGGTAGGGCCAAAGTTAGAAAAAAAAAAAAAAAAAAACCAAAAAAACCCTGCAGAAGGCTGCCATGGACCAGGCCCTGACTGCGGAGGGCTCACGTGCCCACACCGGCCCCTACCGGACTCCCACACACCTCTCTCCTCATCGCTTCTTAAAGTCCAGAAGAGGCGGTCCCGGAGGAGAGCGGGCCAATTAGCCGGGCGGCACCCTGAACTCCGGCACGCCCCATGATGTCTCCTCTCCCAAAGGACCCTGGTGGCCCTCCTCCGTTTCACACCACTCTGCGGGGGTCCCCGAGCGGGAAGAAGCGCAGGCTAGAACTCGCGATCCCTGGATCCGTGGCTCCGCGCGCGTCTCGGCGGTATACGAGCGGCCCCGGGACAACCCAGGTCGGGTCCTGAGCGTCCCGGGCGCGTTCGGAGAAGGTGACTCAGCGACAGGATCACGGGCGGAGAAACTCCCGGAAACCAGAAACTAGAGGAGGGGAGGGCGCAGGGGAGTCATCACCCAGTCCTAGCGCCGCGGCGCGCGTATCCGCGGAGATCGGGTCCCGCACGCCCCCCACCCCCACCTCACACACCCCAGGAATCCGACGCGTGCGGGGGAGGGCAGCGTTGCAGCCGCAGTGCTGCGGTCACGCGCTGCGTGGACGCGAGCGGCTGTTGGAGGAGGGGGTTCCGATGGGAACCAGTGACGGGGGTGCAGATCCGCCCGCCACTACCCTTTCCTCTTCCCTCTTTACCTCCCTTCTCCAACGACCGCTAGGGTCCAGGTCTGGGCTCGGACGCCTAGCGATGAGGGTAGGAGTCTGTGCTCCCCGAATTTTAGCTTGGAGGGGGCTCGCTGCGTAGACCCGCTGGCACGCCGCACTTCTTCCGCTGCCCCCACTCAGAGGGCATTTCCATCAAGCCTGAAAAGCCGCCGTCGTTCCTGCTGAAGAGGAGAAACTGAGGCACGGGGAGGGGAAGACCTGACTGTCCTTGAGTGAGTTCATAAAGCCAGCCTGGAGTAGGGTCTCCTTTTTTCTCTCTACGCCTCAGGCTGGAGCCCCTGAGTTCGCAGGGCCGGTGGGGCGGGGTTGACTGGACACTCAGTTGTCCCGGAGAGGCGGGGCAGCCCACTGGACTCTTTTTCCTTTGGCCCAGTGGAAAGGCCCAGTGGGAGGGAGGCAGAGGGCAAAGCCCTCTGGCCCGGGTTGCAGTCGGCACAATGGCTCCTCTATCCTCCCTGCTGCCTCCTCCCCTGGCCCTCTCACCTCCAAGGCCTCTGCTCTGCCCTCCTCATTCTTGTCATTCACCTCCCTCCTCCCGGGCTGCCTTTTCCAGACCTCTTTCCCTTTCTCTCTGTCTGAAGAACTTTATCTCCAGAAACTCACCCATCTGCAACCTTGGCCCATCTTGTTCTTGGATAAGAACAAGATGCCTGTTCTGCTTTTGACACTTGGGGGAACTGAAACCTTGAGAGGTGAAGGGTCTTGCTCAAGCAGCCAAACCAATTCCTGGCCGAGCAAAGAAGCAAACACTGGAGCCCTCCCCCAAGTCTTTCCAGATCTAGGGTCTCCCCGTGTGCCCACTTATCCCTTCACCCCCATGTTCCTATGTCTGTTGGCCTGGTACATTGCTGGCCACTGAGCTGCCCCAGGAACCCTGCAGCTAGGGGTCCCCAAAACAAAGAGGAAGAAACTCCAAGGCTTTGCCCCTAGATCCTGATTAACCAGCCTGTGTGCCAAGTGGCACCAGGCTCATGCTAGCCAGGATATTTAATCACCAACCCAGGACTGGACTCAAAGGTAATACCTGTCTCACAGGTAAAAGGAATTTTTCTCTCCCCTAGCCTCTCCCTCCTGTTGGCAGCCTTCCCAGGGAGAAACCCCTACCCCTCCCCCTTTCTTTTTTTCAGCGAAAACAAGCACTATTCACCAGTCCTGGCCTCAGCCATCCAAGGTGGTCAGTTGCTTTTATTAGGCAAAGATTTCTGTCACCTCACCCTTCCCTGGGTGATTTCAGCTCCCACAAATGCAGGGCCAGGTCCCCCCTTGACCTCAAGCTCTTTCGCTTTTTTCAATACTTCACTCCCTGCAAGGTTGCAAGGGAAGGGAGGGTCCACCTCTGCAAATTCTTCACCCTGGTGTTCTGGACGGCCCAGGATGTAGCTTTCCATTCTGAGCATTTCCTAAATGCTGTTTCTAAGGTTAACCCTGCCAGGCATAGGGGCGGGGTGCCACGTGCCCCATAGGGAGATCCAGAGTTGTAGACTGGCCATGCAGAATTGGGACTGGGTGCTGCAACCTGGTTTCTGCTTGTCTGCAGTGGTTTGACTACTCTGGGTGTGGGGGAGGGGCTCTACCCCTAGGGTGGTCTTCTTGTCCTCATGGCCCACTTGCTAAGCTGGAGCCCAGGTCTCAGCTGGGCCTTTGAGCCTGGCCTCCCATGAACCCTCATCTCCAGGCCTGTAGATCCTGGCCACAATTCAGGGTCGTTAGAATTCCACAACATTCTCAGTGTGAACACCCACAGGCTATGCCCACTCCCTTTTAGCTGCCTGCTTGGAATCTGGAGATATTTGGTTTAGTTTCCAGGTGACTTGAAAACAGAAATCTAGTATCAGCCCAAGGTGTCAGCGGGGCTGGTTCCCAAGAGGGAGGCTCTGTCCCCAGCCTCTTCTGGCTCCTGCTGGTTGGCTGACATTCTTTGGTGTTCCTGACTTGACACATCACCCTGACCTCTGCCTCCCTTTTCACATGACATCTTCCCTGTGAAGAAGTTGTCTGAGACTTGTTCATATATACATATATATGTATAATATTTTATACAATAAACATATATGGTGGGACTTGAACTCACTTGCTTATGCTAACCATGCGCTCTACTATTGAGCTCCACCTCCAGCCCAAGACTCATCGTTTAGATTGAGATGTGCTCTGTGTCACCATCTATAGGCATATTCTTTCTCAGCTGTAAATGACTGGGAGGGAAAACCTTTAGGCTATTAGGACTCGAGTGTGAATCAGTGTTGCATGGGTGTAGGAGAAGAGGGTATCTAGAAGTCAGGCCAACGCTTTGCCCAGTGTTGCCAAGGTGCAGTCTGTTGGGAGGAGTTGTTTGTATCTGCTGCAGCAGGCGTCCACACTGTTTCAGCCACCTTGACCTTCAGATTCTGGCTTCTGCCTCGGTTTATGGCATGTCAGCTTCCTGAGCAGATGGATTTGTTCCCCAGTCCTTGGAAGAGCAAAGCTAATTTTGTGTTGGATGGTGTATTAGGCCCAAACTTAAAACAACACCAATTTATTAGCCTACATGTCTGGAGATCAGAAGCCTACAGTGGACATTGGAGCCACACAGGCCTTGCCTTTTCTGGCTTTTAGTGGCCACCTGCATTCCTTGGCTCAGGGCACCTTCCTTTACCTGCAAAGCCAATACCTTCAAATCTTATCTCTGTCTGGCTTCACTTTGGTTGTCATAGCTCCCCACAACCCCCACCTCTGGCTGTCCTCCCCTCTTCTTACTTTTTGGCTGTCCTGGGGCCAAAAAGTACCCTTAAGCCACTCTTCCAACCTTCCCCCCTTTTATAATGTCCCTGGGGTTACATCGGCCTGACCCAGATACCAGGATAACCTCCTTCTAGACATCCATAATCACATCTGTGAGTCCCTTTTGCCATGGGAGGTAACATATTCATTCACAGGTTCCAGAGATTGTGACATTGACATTTTAGGGGCCATTATTTTGCCAACCACAGATGGGGAAGAAAATAATCTGGGAATTATGTCCCTACTTGGCACCAGAACCTTCTTTTCCAACTCCTCATCCCTTTCCCAGCTTTACCCAATGAACACAAACCAGAACCCTGCTTTCTCCCAAATAAGCATCCGTGGAGTGGAGCTAAAAAACACTCTCACTGAGATCAAGACAAGCTCCTCTAGAGCCCATAGAAAATTGGTTTCCATTTCTGAAAATTACCCAAGGGAGAAATTGGCATCTTTGCTAAACATAGTAATTACAGGATTGCAAAACCCCAACTTTTCACCTGAGGAAGGGGTTGGTTTGCTTCCAACCCGTCCATTTTCAGCCTGGCAGAATTCCCCACACTGCTTTGCAGAAAGGGCTTGCTCCCCTGCCCCAACCCCCAGCACTGCCCCCTGGGCACCAACAAATTGTATGGCCCGGCCCAGCTCCTGTCATGTGAACCTGTCATCCAGCTGCTTCTATCCCACTGTGACAAGGCTGGACAGGCCAGCCTCACTGAGAGTCACTCACTGGAAATCTCTGTGGACTTCTGCTCATATCAGTCACATTTAGGCCGAAGTGGGTTCCAGCCTGGGTTCTAATGCCCAACTCCCCATCCTGGAAAACTTGTGAGAGAATGGACACCTCCCCTTTCTGCCCAGGCGACAGCCAAGCCCAATGCCACTCAGCTCTGCCTTCTCCTCACTTGCTCAAGGAACTTCCCAGACAAAAGACCAGCAGCTGTGTGTCAACCCACCAGATTGGGCAGTTCCCGGAAGGAGGCCTGGGACGCAAGAAGGGAACTTGGTGCAGTGTGGGATGGGTGTGTGCAGTTTTCCCCGGACTTTTTGCTCTGGAATGTTTTCCACGTTTGAATCTTTCAAAAGCTGTAATGTGTCCGTTGGGTGATGCCCAAAGCAAACAGTGGTTGCACGTGGCCCCAGACGGACCGTGCCTTTGTACTAACGGTCTGGGTT